GTGTCAGTGGGGGGGAGGAATAGTGCCCCATCGTTGGTGTCAGTGGGAGGAATAGTGCCCCATCGTTGGTATCAGTGGGAGGAATAGTGCACCATCATTGGTATCAGTGACACCAATGATGGGGCACTATTCCTCCCACTGAGACTTGCTGACCCTGTTCTCGTATGGTGCTGCTGCAGCCAGCATATGTGGTTGCAGCAGCACCTCTACACAGAACACTTACCTGCTGCTCCGGCACTCAATTTTCGCGGGGCCGCTCGGCTCCGCCCCCTCGCCGGTGATTGGCCGCCTGTGTGCCTTTCCTGAGCTACAGTTCTGGCGGCCAATCACCGGTGAGGAGGCGGAGCCGAGCAGCCGCACGAACATCCAGTGGCCGAACTGAAGGAGACGCCGCGCTTCCTGGACCGGATCGTCGTGGGACTGGATCCAGGTAAGAGACATCAGCCCCTGCAAACCCCTGTACTTAATGCCGCAGCCCCCCTAACATGTGTACCGGCGTATAAGACGACCCCCGACTTTTGAGAAGATTTTCAAGGGTCAAAAAGTCGTCTTATACGCCGGCAAATACGGTATGTAAGAAACCATCTAACACACGTAATATGTTGCAGTAAAAAAATTTACTTAGGTTGCTTTAGAGACTTTAGCGACCTCATGGACTCCTGCAAAGTTTCTAAAGTGATTTAACTGTCCAGGAGCACTGTGTGAGGGCTTATTATTAAAGAAGGGCCTTTCTGCCTGTATCACACACAACTGATTTAAAGATAAAAATGTATACTGTTTATGCTTGTAAATGTTTTGGGTTGCAATTTAAAATGACCATATTTGAGCTTGAGTTGGGTGGGTTTAAAAGAAGTTAGGTAAATATGTAGTCCGTCTTGAATGGCATGCTATCATGGGGTTGGGATTGTTTTCCTTTAAAGTGTATGCAAATTCAATGAACGTCTCTTATTTCCTCCCATTTTGGACTCTTGAATATAACATGAAAAGTATTTTGTTATATTGATAAGTGCAATGTTATCTCAAACAATGCCATCAGGAAGTGTTTTTATGTTATAGAGAAGAAGAGGTGCTCTATAGTCCTAACACACTTCCTTTCCTAGGATGACAACAGATTTATACATTGCCTTCATACCCCTTGAAATTTTCCACATTTTGTCATGTTACAACCAAAAACATAAATGTATTTTATTGGGATTTTATGTGATAGATTAACACAATGTGGCACAGAATTATGAAGTGGAAGGAAAATGATAAATGGTTTTCAAAATATGTTTACAAATAAACATCTGAAAAGTGTGGCGTGCATTTGTATTCAGCCCTCCTTAGTCAATACTTTGTAGAACCATCTTTCACTGCAATTACAACTGCAAGTCTATTTGGGTATGTCTCTACCAGCTTTGCACGTCTACAGAGTGAAATTTTAGCCCATTTTTCTTTGCAAGAAAGCTCAAGCTCTGTCAGACTGGATGGAAAGCATTTGTGAACAGCAATTTTCAAGTCTTGCCACAGATTCTCAATTGGATTTTGGTCTGGATTTTGATTGAGCCATTCTAACAAATGAATATGCTTTGATCTAATCCAGTTCATTGCAGCTCTGGCTGCATGTTTAGGGTCGTTGTCCTGCTGGAAGGCGAATCTCCAACCCAGTCTCAAGTCTTTTGCAGAGTAACAGGTTTTCTTCTAAGATTGCCCTGTGTTTGGCTCCATCCGTCTTCCCATCAACTTTGACCAGCTTCCCTGTCCCTGCTGAAGAAAAGCATCCCCACAACATGATGCTGCCACCATTATGTTTCACGGTGGAGATGGTGTGTTCAGAGTGATGTGCAGTGTTAGTTTTTTGCAAAAAGTTAAATTTTGGTCTCATTGGACCAGAGTACCTTCTTCCATACATTTGCTGTGTCCCCCACATGGCTTCTCGCAAACTACAAACGGGGCTTCTTATGGCTTTCTTTCAACAAGGGCTTTCTTCTTGCCTCTCTTCCACAAAGGCCATATTTGTGGAGTGCACAACTAATAGTTGTCCAGTGAACAGATTCTCCCACCTGAGCTGTGGATTTCTGCAGCTCCTAAAGAGTTACCATGGGCCTCTTGGCTGCTTCTCTGATTAATGCTCTCCTTGCCCGGCCTGTACGTTTAGGTGGACGACCAGGTCTTGGTAGGTTTGCAGTTGTGGCATACTCTTTCCATTTTCGGATAAAGGATTGAACAGTGCTCCGTGAGATGTTCAAAGCTTGGGAAATTATTTATAACCTAACCCTGCTTTAAACTTCTCCCTGACCTGTTTAGTGAACAAACAGCATCATGAAGGCCAAGGAACACACCAATGTTCTCGAACAAACCTCTGAGGGCTTCATAGAAGAGCTGTATTTTACTGAGATTAAATGGCACACAAGTGGACTATTTACTAATTAGGTGACTTCTAAGGCAGTTGGTTCCACTAGATTTTAGTTAGGGGTATCAGAGTAAAGGGGGCTGAATACAAATGCACGCCAGACTTTTCACATATTTATTTGTAAAAAATTTTAAAAACCATTGATCATTTTCCTTCCACTTCACAATTATGTGCCAGCTTGTGTTGGTCTATCACATAAAATCCCAATAAAATACATTTACGTTTTTGGTCATAACATGACAAATACATGTGGAAAATTTCAAGGGATATGAATATGTTTTCAAGGCACTGAATGCAAAGACACAGTACATATAAACATTACTGTTTATGTTAGCATGATGTTCTACAGGTGAAACTCGAAAAATTAGAATATTGTGCAAAAGATCATTTATTTCAGTAATGCAACTTAAAAGGTGAAAGTAATATATGAGATAGACTCATTACATGCAAAGCAAGATAGTTCAAGCCGTGATTTGTCATAATTGTGATGATTATGGCTTACAGCTCATGAAAACCCCAAATCCACAATCTCAGAAAATTAGAATATTATATGCAATCAATAAAACAAGGATTGTACATAGAACAATATTGGACCTCTGAAAAGTATAAGCATGCATATGTACTCAGTACTTGGTTTGGGCCCCTTTTGCAGCAATACTGCCTCAATGCGGCGTGGCATGGAAGCTATCAGCCTGTGGTACTGCTGAGGTGTTATGGAAGACCAGGATGCTTCAATAGCGGCCTTCAGCTCTTCTGCATTGTTCGGTCTCATGTCTCTCATCTTTCTCTTGGCAATGCCCCATAGATTTTCTATGGGGTTCAGGTCAAGCGAGTTTGCTGGCCAATCAAGCACAGTAATCCCACGGTAAGTGAACCAGGTTTTGGTGCTTTTGGCAGTGTGGGCAGGTGCCAAGTCCTGCTGGAAAATGAAGTCCGCATCCCCATAAAGCTCGTCTACGGAAGGATGCATGAAGTGCTCCAAAATCTCCTGGCAGATGGCTGCGTTGACCCTGGACTTAATGAAGCACAGTGGACCAACACCATCAGATGACATGGCTCCCCAAATTAACACAGACTGTGGAAACTTCACACTGGACTTCAAGCATCTTGCAGTGTGTGCCTCTCCATTCTTCCTCCATACTCTGGGTCCTTGGTTTCCAAATGAGATGCAAAAGTTGCTCTCATCAGAAAAGTGGACTTTGGACCACTGAGCAACAGACCAGGTCTGTTTTTCTTTAGCCCAGGCAAGACGCTTCTGACATTTTTTGTTGTTCAGGAGTGGCTTGACAAGATGAATATGACATTTGAAGCCCATGTCCAGGATCCGTCTGTGTGTGGTGGCTCTTGATGCACTGAGTCCAGCCTCAGTCCACTCCTTGTGAAAGTCCCCAACACTTTTGAATGGCCTTTTCCTGACAATCCTCTCCAGGCTGCGGTCATCCCTGCTGCTTGTGCGCCTTTTTCTTCCACATAACTTTCTATTAATGTGCTTCGATACAGCACTTTGGGAACATCCAACTTCTTTTGTAATTACTTTTTGAGGCTTTCCCTCCCTTATGGAGGGTGTCAATAATGGTTTTCTGCACAACTGTCAGGTCAGCAGTCTTTCCCATAATTGTGATTCCTACTGAACCAGACTGAGAGACCATTTAAATGCTCAGGAACCCTTTGCAAGTGTTATAGCTTAATTAGCTGATTAGAGTGGGACACTTTGAGCCGAGAATATTGCACCTTTTCACAATATTTTAATTTTTTGAGATTGTGGATTTTAGTTTCACCTTTTAAGTTGCATTACTAAAATAAATGAACTTTTGCACGATATTCTAATTTTTTGAGTTTCACCTGTATATGGACAGAGTGAAGAACTGGAGCATGTTTTCTGTTACAAGAAAGCAACTAACAGAAGTAGTAGTAAAAGCGCGTGTAAACATCTATATCCCACAGAGTAATTCCCAGGTGGTTCCATTGTGTCTCTCTCTCTCCAAGCCAGCAGCAGCACTGGTGGTTTCCAGCGTTTCCTACTGCTCGTAAAACACTTTTCCTGTCCCCTCCAGAGTCCCTTATAGCTTGCATTAGAACTTGATGCTTTGAAGTGCTTACAACTACTGGATTAAATTCAGAGACTTTTTAATTGACTCTATACACTCATTTAGCAGTGTTGTTACAGCCCCATGTGACATACAGGATTCTGTTTATTGCGTGTCAAATATTTACCTTGCATAGCACAGAACCTGCCTAATGAATTACACTGCAGACATTTTTGGGAAGATAAAATACATTTTTAAGTAGACTAAGTTTTTTAATGAATCCAGTATATAATTAAACCCATAAAGAGTGGTTTCTTTTTTTGTCCAGTGGGCCTTTTTAGATTGAGCCATTACTCCAGCTAAAACATATATGCTTTTTATAAAATATCTAAGCATAAGTGTACTATTGGCATAATCACTCTTTCACTCAGTGGGAAGAGTTTAATTCCTGTGCTAACAGGACTATTTATATGGTTTGGTACATGACTCATCTTGTTAGTCATTTCCTACCAGAAAACCAAATTTACCATGTATATAATATTATTCTTTATCAAAATACGCTCTACAGATAAAATAATTACCTGCAATGGACAAGAATAGCTTGGTTTTCTATTCTTTTTTGTCTTACACAATTAACAAATTCCAGAAAATCAGATGATTCATCAGGCACACCATGATCAGGCCAAGCAACGTACTGCAAATGAGAAACTGGCAACTCCTCTCCTGTCTGCAAATAAAACATTTGTAGACATATTAAAACACTGATACCAATGAACAAAAAAAGGAAAAACACATTCTTAACACTGTAATATAGTGAGTCAACATACGTAAACATATGGTTTACTATGGGCGTCATGGCTGGGTAATATTTATGCCATGGAATAGCATACACAGTCCCTACTATTACTGCTTGGCTTATTTAATATCATGCAAGTTATTCACTCCTGTTTTTCTGTACCTCGGCCAGACTCTGCTGCAGCTACACCTGTCAAAGGCATAGGCATTTGGCCTAGGCTTTTGCTTAGATGATCAGCACTGGAGAAAGCTTGGTGAACCAATTTCTGCTCTTCTGTTACTCTTTATGTATTCAATCCCAAGAAAACCAGTGCCATAACTTTACAATAAAATTTGAGTATACATCTGCTGATAACTGACCTCGCTCTTGCATGCCTGCACCCATACTGGGATAGGTACGCATATGTATAATTGGGGCTGGATACTAACTGGCATTATTATAAAGCTTCATATTTAGCCACAGAAACACAAAGTGCTCCAATGGGCTTGTACGTAAACATTTTAAAAGCTCCTGTGAGGTTTTTAAAGTGATGATCTTTTCTTTTGAAACTCTAAGAGCATATTAAAAGCATAACTGATAAAATACCTTCAAGTTCTATTAATGGAGTATTGCAGATATTGGGACAAATACAGTATTAATAAGGCACATTTACTTCATTGTGTAGAAGTATTCAAAACCAGGTGGCTATGTTTTACTCTTACCTCAGTGTTTGTTATTATCATTTCTCTGAATACATAAGCAATTGTACAGTCTTCTGAGTTACATTTCACCATAAATTTCCCATAATCCATTAAATCAGGGGGATCAGGCCAGTACTGATGACATTTAGTCTACAGAGAAGAAAAAAAAAGCAGACAGCTACTGAGTATAATACACTTTTATTATATATGACATACCTTGTAAAAGGCTAAAATTTATATTGATTATTAAATATGTAACATTTATAAAACGGTTTGTGTCACTGAAAGTACACAGCCTTCATTTGAGGTTATCAGACAAGGAATCTTAAACCGGCAGTAGACTGTTCGAATCTCGGTTGGTTCAGCAGGAACCAGCCGAGATTCGAACCATGTATGGGCAGGCTGAATGTACCTAAGTAATTGATGAATCAACTTGGGTACACAAGCCTGCAGGATTTTACATGCGCTTATTTCTAGCAACTGTTATAGCCACTAGCTATAATCACTGTGTTCTCCTGGCAGGGATGGCATCCTCGCCAGTAGAACACAATAGCTCCGTAGGAGGGATTCCCGTGTCAACACTGTCTGTAATGATGGCAGAATTAAGCAAATTTCTTTACTGCAATCACGAGTTGCAGAAATCGGCTAAGTCTATGGCCTACCTGAGTGTAACAGCACAAAGTAGCTTGACCATTACGATTGTAGAAAGTTGCCAAAAATGTTATGAGTGACAATTACCTACTGCAGGGCTTGAAAAAGCCGCTCGCCCGCTCGCCAAATGCCAGGAGAAATTCCTGTGGGCGAGCACAGATGATGGATGGAGCAGCTGCACCTGCGCTCCAAGCCTCATTGTGAAGCAGAGTTTCAGTTTCCAACTTCCGGTTTTACACTGGCAGCACCGCTGAGGGGACAAGTGCGGGAGAGGTCCGCTCTCCTCCGCTGAGAGGAGACACCCTCTCCACCGCCGCGGGGAACCCGAGGAGAGGTCCGCTCTCCACCGCCGCAGGGGAAACAAGGAGAGGTCCGCTCTCCACCGCCGCAGGGGACACAAGGAGAGGCCCGCTCTCCACCGCCGCAGGGGACACAAGGAGAGGCCCGCTCTCCACCGCCGCAGGGGAAACAAGGAGAGGTCCGCTCTCCACCGCCGCAGGGGACACAAGGAGAGGCCCGCTCTCCACTGCCGCAGGGGACACAAGGAGAGGCCCGCTCTCCACCGCCTTGGGGGACCTTGAAGTATTTTTGGGGTATGGTCTGTGGAAATTATGTTCAGTTTATGTATGGTTATTTGTACATTTTTTGAGTACAGTTAGAGGTCCATCCTCCACTCCTACAGTTTTTATAAAGTTTAATCTTTTATTAAACACCCTATTGTACATGTTGTATAGCTTTTAGTAGTACCTGAAAACTTGCATAGTGCTTTCTCTTGGTGTCTGTACTCAATACGGTAATAATAATATGCCACGTTAGCAATAGATAGTAGAAAGGATGTGAAAATGTAAGCAACACCTTTTTGCTAGCTAACCTAATATACTTTAGTGCAAGCTTTTTAGAATACCGAGTTGTCTTCACCAGTCATGGTGTCATACCTTTACACATCAGTGACATGAACATACACATAGTATATGCAACAAATGGTCACCAGGGGATGCCTCTGGCAGTCTGCCAGGATTCGGTGACAATTGTCCTATGTCTATGGATAGACCTTACATCCAGTTATTAACACGTTGTGTCCTTTAATACTTTAATGGCAGAAAATGTGTTATGTGATTTTCTAATATAATAACAGAGATGCTGTGAATACACATTACACATTTACATAGGTTTCATAAATTAGGTTCTAGGCTCAGTCTGGCCTCTTATCCACTATGAGACTTGATTATGTAAACCAGCTTTCTATTAGCCTCTATTCTAAAGAAAAATGTAACTTCATAAGCGTTAAGGGGGCATGGTTGGGGCAGGGCTGGGGGTGGGGCGGGGTTGGAGGCGGACCTGGGCAAGGTTGGGTGGGGCAACTGGTGGAGAGTAAGGTTTGTGCCTGGCTAGTAGGTCTAGACTCGAAATTTTAAGCCCTGACCTACTGGATACCGTGGAAATGCCAAACACAGAATGCACTGAAGTCATAACTGTTGGATAGCGCCCCTCCAGTATCTAATGCACTTTTGGATGTTTTATTGTCATTCATGTCTCTAACAGGCTATTGCTACTGCTCCAAAGCTAATTCCTCTTCACTTTGTATATCACTGTGGCAGCTGAGCTAATGGGAAAGGAGATTCATAGCTAGTAGGTCTATATAAAAAGTCTATTCTGGTTATGAAATGGATAGAAACTCTTACCCCATTGTGTGGTATAACTTAGGAATCTGAGACTTTGTAATGTATGAATACACAAAGTACCTTACTACTAATCACTTACCGCTAACCAAAAATACTTCAAAGTGGAGTTCAACCTGAAAAAAAAGTGTCAGCACCTCCAAAAACTGTAGCTGCTGACTCTTAAAATACAGACACTTACCTGTCCCTCGGTCCAGCGGTGTCCTCACCTCTGCTGGTTTCACTGGCCGTCTTCTCTACCTGGTGCCGGCATCTTCAGTGTGTGCACCCGGCTGTGACAGCTTGCGGTTTTACAGCCAAGTGCCCACTGCACATGCACGAGAAGCGCTGCGCTTTGTCAATGGACCCACAGTCTTCTGGGACCTGTCACGTGTCCCAGAAGACTACAAGGCGGGAGGGGGGGGAGGTGATCGCAGCAGAAGTGGGAGCGGGTACGTGTCAAATTCGGGTACCCGCTCCCCAGAGATGCCAATCCTTAATGGGGAGCGGGGGACAAAGGCTTAAAGCAGAACTTCCCCTTTCGGGTGGAGCTCTGCTTTAACTCTATTTTGACTACAAAGTATATGTGGTGAAATAAGTGTCCACTTTAAAATTAAGAAAATAACTGCTTTATCACTGAGTAATTCAATGGAAAACCTGTGTAAAACATAATAAGCACTTCTGAAGCGTTTAGTGCTCATTATTGTGTTGAAGCGTTCTCCTGGATTAACTGCTTATTGCAAGTAACATGCAAACATGCGGCATTGCTAATGTAAAATTGGTCCATAAGCAAACATCAGTCATGGACATTGTATTAGTCATGAACATTGTAAACACCTACCCTTCCACGTTCAGTTAATGTTGTTAACATGATGACAAGAGATAATCTGTTGTCCCAAACCATCTGCCAAAAATTTTCACATGTATGTGGAAGGGGTCCTTGAGTAGCAATGTACTTGTTTACTACATTAGATGATGGGATCTCCATCTGCAATTACAAACATATTTCATGATCACAATATACCTTGTGCCATAGCACCTACCAATCAAAAGATAAGATGGACGGTCTTTTTTTTTTTTAATGTACTGTATATTCTCCAGTTTCAATTGATCAAATGTACAACTAACAGAAAAGGCAAGAGTCTACAATTTTCCAGAAGACAGTTGTAAATTAAAAAAGTTTTCTTCAAGAGTCTCTGAATCTGTAAACATAATGCCAAGAATAGGATTCTAGTTCTATTTTTTTTTATTTGAAAGCAGTTAAACAATTTCAAAAGTCATCAAAAAAATTAAAATGCATGCACACAACAATAAAAGAATTTTAGAACGTTTTGTTCCTCTATCATCCCTTTTGTACCAGACTGGTAAACCAATTAATTGCTCAGCTATTAATACTTCATTGTCCTACAATCTATTTATATATAATTATCTCAAAGGGTTTGTCTAACCAGCTACAATTTTATCACTAATTTCACTAATTAGTTCACTTATTATTTGAAACAAATGTTCCCCTTGTGGAGTGTTTCCATGACATTTTTCTCATCCTTAATGTTTTGTGAGTAGTTCTCACTCTTGCATCAGCTGCAAGCCAACTGAATTAGCCAAACACTAAGAAGGCAAAAGTTCTGTGAATTATATTATGTATATTGCTGACAGGAGGCAACTTAATTGTAACTGACAAGAGCCCAGTGGACAGCTAGCTAAAAATGGACATGCTATTCATGTTTTTGAAAATTTCCTTTGAATTCTCTAAGTGTTTGACACTGAACTCCTACAATCACTTTACAGGAACATGCAATAACTTACATTCACATAGCTAGCATTGATGTAGTCTTCAGTTTCCTGTAAGAGTACTCTAGTAGCATCATCTGTAGATGAAATAATAATGTCAATCTTTATATTAATTACAGCACTTTTAAATGGTTTATTTTCTATTCATATGTTCATCTTCAGACTAGCACTATCCTCTAAATAATAAAACCTTAATTGTAGCTCTTTAAATAGATACAATAAACCAGTCTGGGTCTTTGGAAACATATCCGGTCCCCACTATTCTTTTTACTCGGTCATGTGATTCCACCTCAGGAGTTGAATGGCTACTGAAATGAAAAGATTTTTTGAGAAGAAGCTTGAGTCTAGTGTTTCTCTTCTAAATGTTTACTTAGCTACATTTTACACAGGCAGTTATCAATGTCCAGAATGTTCCTCTATAAGAATTCCCAAATAAGGGCGAGGTCTCAAGCTGCATAGACAAACAAATCCATATCAGTCAATAAAGTCCTGTATGGGATTCCAAACTGAAAGTAGTTCACATCACTCAGCCCTCCACATAAGACTTTAACGTTGACCTTAAATGGATCAAAACTCTGCCAGGTTAGTAGGGATCGGCTAAATTTTGATCCATGTATGGGCAGGCTAGTTGAACACAAGTTGATCTACCAATCAACTTGTGTACAGTCAGCCGTGATCAGTGCCGCCGGCTATAGCTGGCAATGCTGATCAGTGTTTTCTGGCAGCCAGGAAGTATCCCCGCTTTCAAAATACAATACCTCACCTGCTGGTTGGATGAAAAAAAAAAAAAAAGCATGGCCAGCCTGAAGGTTTAGCCCAGTTGAAATGCCCAGTAGGCCGTAAATTCTCTATATCAGTATTTTCACTTAACATGGTCATTAACAGAGGACTGTACCACTCTGGTGTAAACCAAACGTTTTCTATGGTCCCTCACTCCTCCACTGTATCTATGGAGGTGCATCGTAGCCACCACTGGACAGCAGCATTGTCAATCAGTGGAAAGAAGGGTGTTAGATGGACTGGTAGATTTAGATTGGCTTTACATAAGTGACTAACAATTTAAAGCTGTTACAGTATTTTTTTTTTCTTTTGGGATAAAAATGTTTCAAAAATGAAATCTGATCATTAAAAGCACCCTGTCAGTGTTAAATGGTTTGACTCAACCCTGTAAGTGACACTTTTGCTGAGGAGCTTGGTCTGTTAAAGGGAGTTGAAAAACAACAGATTTACCGGCCAGAACATAAGGTACTAAACATAGTTATAGGGGCACTGCTGTGTTAATAATAGTGACAGACTAAATGATGTATGTAATTTATTTTATTTTGGCCATAGTTGTACTTTAAGAAGTAAAAAAGAAAAAAGCAGATGGATGGAAGTTAAGCAAGGACAATGTAAGGCGATGGAAAGAAATGAAACAAAGGAAGGTAGAAAGTAAAAAAGAAAGTTACAGCCATTCAGACCTGCTTAGCTATCATATGCTGAGCAGAAGCGGTAAACCACAGGTATAAATTATTCTAACTCTAAATTATGTATAACAATTAGAGCCAGGAGACCCTCAAAAACATTAAATCTTTTCTTTAGAGTATTTTTTCTCACATATAGTCACATAAATAACTATTTATGTCTTTTACTGAACCAGTTTTTATTAATAAAAGTTACTTAGAATTATAAACAGAACATACAGTACATCCTTATGACTAACAAATGAGAAATTGTATAGTTACTCACATGGTAAAACATCTTTATATCTGTTTTTATCCATATTTTGGCCAGTTTTCGCACATGTGATTGCAAGCCCAGGTTTCTTTCGATATAGTTGCTACACGACAGTTAACGAAAGAATGAGAAAATTAAGAAAGCAATGATGCATCTGAAGCTGTATCAACATGTATACATTTGTTTATTTTATCTAGCCATTATTTTTGAATTAAAAGTATTAAGGCTTGTTCTGACAAGTGTTACAATCAAACACAGACACTGTGCTGTAAGTGCAACAAAAAGTGCGTAGAATGTAATTATACTCAGTTTCATACTGAATCAATTTATGCATCATATCTGCCAACAGTTCTTGATTGACATTTGTCCCATAGACACAAATCCAGTGTCTGTGTATGTTTACTTCAGAATCAACCTGTATATCTAGCTAATAGCAATGCATTTTGGCTCATATGATAATACTGGACAATATTTAAAACATAGCACAAGGATCAATTAAGCAAAATTTTATGCATACAGCAACTAAACATAATAGCATGCTGACCCAATGAAGATAGACAGCTAGGATCATCTGGGGCAGAGCGATTTTGATCCGATTTCTAATGCAATTTCTTAGTGCAGCTACAGTGTGATTTTATGTGATTTTGATATATTTTTAACCCCTTTCCCTCCTGAGGATTTCCTGACCAGGCCATTTTTTGTGCTACAGCACTGCGTTGCTTTAACTGACAATTGCGTGGTTATGCAACACTGCACCCAAATGAAATTTATGTCCTTTTTTTCCCACGAATTGAGCTTTCTTTTGGTAGTATTTGATTGCCTGCACGATTTTTATTTTTTTGCGCTATAAAAAAAAAATCCTCAATATTTTTTACTTTTTGCTATTAAACATGTTCAGTAAAAAAATCTAATTTCATCATAAATTTAGGCCAAAATGTATTCTGCTAAATGTCTTTGCTAAAAAAAATCCCAATATGTGTAAATTAATTGGTTTACGTGAAAGTTATTGTGTTTGCAAATGGCGGTATAGATACTGGAATTTTTTTCTCTGTACTAGTAATGGCGGTGATCAGCGACTTATTATAGCGGGACTGCGGCGGACATTCTGACACTGGGGGGAACTGACTTGGTGTCACTGACATCCCCAGTGACCAATACAGTGATCAATGCTACAAAAAAAAAAAAAAAAAGAAGCACTGACACTGTACTAATGGCACTGGGCAGGATGGGGTTAACAGGAGGGGCGATCAAAGGGTTAACTATGTGCAGGGAGTGTTTTACTAGGGGGCAGTGCGCTGGTGCTTCACTGTAATCACACTGATCTGGATGGCTGTGCTGTGCACAGACATCCAGAGCAGTGTGCCCGATCTGACAGGGAGGAGGACTGTTAGTAAACAAGACAGTCCTCCTCCCCATCGGTGATCATCGGTAATTACCGTCCGGGACCCAGTGACTGACGGCTGCGACTGCAAATGGCAGCACGGGTAGGGCACGCGTGCCCCCTACCCGTAAATGTAAAATCAACACTTATATATACACATGATTTTGCAAACCAGTGCCGCCCTGTAGCAGTATTTCTGCTATAGGGCGGACAGGAAGCGGTTAATTCCTGTTTACTGCTCTTATCACTGTTGTCAGCCAGCAGGAATGAGTCATCAGTTGTTAAGGAGCCTGCACCCACTGGTGTCCTAACAACGATGAGTCATCCGTACTATCAGAAGAATGTAAACAAAAGAACCAACAATTATAAAAAAAAGGCATTTGTCTCCCTCCTCCCCCTTGTATACCAGGCCCTTTGCGTCTGGTATGGATTTTGAAGGCGAACCCATGCCAAAAAAATAAAATAATGATGTTGGGTCCCCCAATACCAGACCCTCCAAGCATGCAGCCTGGCAGGCCAGGAAAGGAGGGGGGGGGGGAAGGGACGGGACGAGCGAGCAGCCCCTCCCCCTCCTAAGCTATGCCAGGCCACATGTCTTCAGCATGAAGGGGGCACACTGTACCTTATCCCCATGTTGTCAAAGGCCTCTTTCCCAAAACGTTGGCCTGGTAGTTGTGGTAGTGCAGGGATGACTTATTGGAATCTGGAAGCTCCCTTTAACAAGGGGGGTCCCCAGATCCCACACCCCCCATGTGACTGAGTATGAGTTACATAGTACCCCTACTCATTCATCAAAAAATGTCAAAATTAAATAAAAAGTTTTTGACAAGTCCTTTATTTTAAAAAATAGATAAAAATCTCACCTGATATACACTACTGTGCAAAAATGTTGGTCAGGTGTGGAAAAATGCAGTAAATTAGGAATGGTTTCAGAAGCACTTCTATAAGTGTTAATAGCTTATTTTTATCAATTGACAAAATGAAAAGTAAATAAACAGAAAAGGAATCCAAATCAAATTAATATTTGATGTGACCACCCTTTGCCTTCAAAACAGCATCAGTTCTTCTAGGTACACTTGTACACGGTTTTTGAAGGAACTCGGCAGGTAGGTTGTTTCAACCATTTTGCTGAACAAACCACAGATCTTATGTAGATGTAGGCTGCCTCAAATCCTTCTGTCTCTTCATGTAATCCCAGAAATAATACTCGATGTTGAGATCAGGGCAGTGTAGGGGCCAAACCATCACTTCCAGGACTCTAATGACATTGGCTGTATGTTTGGGGTCATTATCTTGCTGCAGAATAAATTTGGGGCCAATCATATGCCTCCCTGATGGTATGGCATGGTGGATAAGTATCTGCTTGTATTTCTCAACATTGCACCATGCTTCACTGTTGCCTGCAGACACTCATTATCGTACTGCTCTCCAGCCCTTCAGTGAACAAACTGCCTCCTGTTACAGCCAAATATTTCAAAATTTTAACTCATCAGTCCAGAGCACCTGCTGCTTTGTTTATGCATCCAAGTTTTTTGTGCATAGCTGAGTCAGTTAGCCATGCTTCCATGTTAGCATTATGGCTGTTTGGCTACAATTCTTCCAGAAAGACCACTTCTGGCCAGACTTCTCCAGACAGTAGATAGGTGTACCTGGGTCTCAATGGTTTCCACCAGTTCTGTGCTGATTGCACTGCTGGACATCTTCCGATGTCTAAGGGAAGTAAGCATAATTGCGTCTTTCATCTGCTGCATTATGTCTCCTTGGTCAACCACTGCATCTTCGATTCTCAACGTTTCCCATTTCTTTGTGCTTCTTCAAAAGAGCTTGAACATCACATCTTGTCTGCTTTGAAATATTTGCCTGGGGGGGAGAGACTTTGCTCATGCAGTATAACTACCTTGTGTCGTGTGCTCAGTCTTGCCAGGGTATATGACCTGTGACCTAAAAACGATCTACCAAAACCTCACCCTAGTAACATAGTTTGGCTGTTCCTCTTCTAGTTTTAAGCCTCCTACACAGCTATTTCTGTTTCAGTTAATGACTGTGTTTCAACCTACATATGAAATAGATGATCATTAGTGCCTGCTTGACTCTAATCCTACAAAATACCTGACTTTGTGCAAGTGTAAAAAGTGTGCAGGTATTAGAAATGATGTTGCTTTGAAGTCAAAGGGTAGTCACACCAAATATTGATGTGATTTAAATTTTTCCTCTATTCACTCCCTTTGCATTTTGAAAATTGCTAATAAACAATTTCAATATATATGTTTTTGAAAGCATTTTTACCTTACAGCATTTCTTCACACCTGCCTAACATGTTTGCACTGTACTATAAATCCATCATGAATCAATCATGGTGAATGCAGGCTGTGGACAAAAAATTAGAAGAAAAAAAAAAAAAAATAAATAAAGGGGCATGGTCATCCTATAACGCTATATGACGCCATCCTATGGCAGTGACATCATGGGTGATCCCCACTCACTTATGATGTCACATGGTGTCTTTTGAAGATCCCACCCTATGTTTTCATAGGGGCAGTGGGAAGTTTCGCTGTCATTCGGCAGGTGTCAAGCGATGGGAGTAGTCATGTTCGGCGGGTGTCTTTTTTTTCTGTTATTATGCGGATTGGCAGTCAGTATTTATCGTGACTGACAATGGATTTTTACATTGTTATTTACTTTTTATTAATAAAGAAAAACTGTTTTGTGTTTTTTAAATGTTTTTACGCACTTTTGAGATCTTTTTGGTGAATGAGTAGAGGTAACAATGTACTTCATTCAAATGGAGGGAGAAGGATGGGATCTGGGACCCCATATTTAAAGGGAGCTTCCAGATTCCGATACGTTACCCCCCCCACAAACCCCGGGTCAGGGTTTTGGGGAAGGGGCCCTTGTCCTCATCAACATAGGGACAAGGTGCTTTGCCATGGCCAAAACAGGAAGTGAGGAAATCCCCCCAAATTGAGGGAATCCTGGAGTGTTACCAAGGTCACCAGAACTAGTGTCTCCATTGGAAGATTTCAACTATTAGTATTTTGATGTCAACCCAAAATTTTAGATTTTCTTTCACTTTCACTTTCGTTGAGATTGGTAAACAGAGCAAATAGAAAAGGTACATCTCTCAACACAGACAGCAATAAAGAATTGGACTTCCGGTTCTGGCGCCGTATGGAGCGGAGGTGAGCTGTCCCTGCTCCCACGGCACTCCTCCACTGCTGCAGTCCCACACCTGCTACAGTTTGGGGGCTGCCCCCCTTTCAGCAGTGGAGCAGTCCCACGCCTGCTCCTCTTCTGTCCCCCGCTTGTCACAGGGGGACACAGTGGCTGCTGCAGCCAAGATGGTCACCACTGCAAGCACACATGCTGACACAGGGGATAAGCAGAGCCCACAGCAGCCACAGCCTCCTACTCCTCAGCCTCCGCACCCTGCCTCACCAGCGGGCATTGCCCACACAGTCATGGCGCTCTTAACGCCTACTCTCATGGCAGCGGTCGACAGTGCTGTTCTTAAAGGGCTAGAACAGCTACATAAAGGTTTCCATGCACAGGCTCAGCGCATTATACAGATGGAAGATAGGATCTCCTCCATTGAAGATGACTCATAGGCTGTTTCTGCTGCAATAGACCGACTCACCACAGTCCAAAGAGATCTTCAGGATAAGTTAGACGATCTAGAAAACCGTTCACGGCGGAACAATTTGCACATCATAGGCCTGCCCAAA